AACCGTGCATGGCGGTCCAACCGTGAGGCTTCCAGCAACTACCCAAACTCTCCTTTCTTGTTTCTTCTTCTTCACGCTTTAGTATTTTAGTGTAACTTTTAGCTTCGAACTTCGATTTTGATGATCTTTGGCTTTTTGGGAAGCTAATGAAGATCTCTACAGCTTTGAACTGATATCACATTAATTTGAGCAAATTCGAAGTCATAAGATAAGACCAATTCATTCATCTCTTTGTCTCTACTTCAGTTTCATTTGAGTCTTCTACTTCTGGGTGTGTCTTAGAATTTTAGCATGTCTTGTAGGTCTTCAACATGACTTCTAATGCCTTGCTTGAGATGTTGATCATCCGGATCACCACTTTGCCTAAGTCCAAGTCCACCTTGCATCCATTATATTTGAGCTATACCTTGTATATATACTAGCAAGCGTCGATAGTCCAAATGGTCATGTTAATCATAAAAAACTTAATGGACCATAGGGTCCATTTTCCTTACATGGTATTAAAAACTTTTGTCTTAATTTGGTACCACATGTGCAACCCATGCCAAAATAGTGTTTTACTCATAGATATCCAATCAACTATTGTGCCTTAACACATATTGATCTTGGAGAACCGATTAGGTTAGGGTACAACTGGCATTTTACTCCTAACCACAACACTTCTGTTGCTTCTAAAAAAACCGTAAGTTCAAAAGTATGCTTAGTTTCATCTAAGCTTTTTACCCTTCAATAACAGAGTTTACCTTATGTATGCACAGATTCCTCTGATAGCAATATCGCTCACCAGGGTTAGGGATGAGCGTAGTTGAAGAGAAGGGTATTTAATTGAATACCCATTATTTTTTTTGCCAAACAACTAATACTTCTATATGTTAAAACACTTTTAGGTTATGATCAAGTCGCTGAACCTAGATATAATGCTCAATTATTATAATTATATGTTCTATCTTATATTTATCATTTATTATACAAATACAATTAGCATTGTATGATGTTATAATCAATTTTTATAACACACTAGCAACTATGTTGTAAAAAGAAACTATTTTTATCATTTGAAATTCTACTAAATAACAAGCCGCCAAATTCTTGGCCCACATTCCAGGCTATAAATTAGGGGAAACGAGAGCGATAACGGTGAAGTACAGTTTGTGATTTTCACTTGCCAGTTTTCCTATATTATCTGGTACATATCAATTTTGGTCACATACAGAAGGGAATTGTGTATCTTCCTAATTCCTATTGAGAAGAGGTAAAAGGATCACATCATATTTCAGTTTGACTTTGTATTGCCATTGTTAAGATTGACGTAAGGCAAGTATACAAAGGCTTGTTTAAAGAAAAAGAAGGTTCAGGGAGGCTGACTAGAGATGATGGAATGGAAATTGGCACCTTGTGATCCTACTAGCTAGGCGAAGTCAGCCCATGCAATTCTAAGTCATTGAACTTGAAGCACCTGGCCCAAAGAAAGAACTTGATTGCTGGAGTGCTAAAAACAGCAGCTTCTGCTAGAGAAAGGCCCAACTGGCTGGAGCAATCAAAGTGGAAAGGGGCACGAGAATGAGTTAGAAACTGGCGCGAACTATTACACCGTGAATCCTTTTTTGAAACATGTTTATTTTTATTTTATTAATGTTACAAAATAGGTTTGATTTATTAATTAAGATAATAATAAACCATTAACACCAAATAAAAGGACAACAATAGCTAGTATATCTCGACCATTAAACAGTATTTTAGCTCAAGTTGTTGCCTCCGTTTCTAAATAATTATATATCATTTAAGACATTAATTGACACGGTTTCCAATTGATATTTGGCTTTGTTTTTTTTTGTAAGAGTACATCATTTTAAATAGTGAATTAAATATATATTATGAAAGTAATTTCCATGATAATTTTATTGACATCAACAATGTGCTGTTAATCTATACAACATTTATATATTAAGTGCCCATTACTGACTAAATCCTAAAGCCAGCCACATATTTTTTTTTTGTAAGCAGGGTGTGCTGTTTTATTAGCGACCAGCCGACCCCAGCCGACGGGTTGCCCGGCCGCTCAGTTATACTAGTAGAATACTTTCCAAACTTATCGTAAAATAACATGCATGTACCCTCCTCCTCGTCTCTTTTGCTCGTGTGCCCTACTGTTAATCGACCATTTTTATATAGATTGCAGGTTCTATCATCAGCAATTTGTCTTGCTGTGTGCGTCACGACGAGCTACGGAATCAAGAAGCCCTATGCAATAGCTTACTGATTCAAATACATATCCTACTCCAGCAAAACAATGTGTTTCTTGGCGTTCCTAGTCGTTACCGGAGGTTGTGTTTGTTGGATTTTATTAGGCTTGGCCTAATTTTATTCAATTAAAATCAAATAAATCCTAAGATTCAGATTAAATGCTAGGTGCAATAGAGACTTGACGGCGGGTTGATTGTGGTTGATGGCTGACTTGTAACGACCATGTTTATGGCTGCAGTTACTAGTAACTCATATGATTATGGCTTAGCTAACAGCTACTCTCATGGTTATGGCTATAGTTACCGGTAACTCCAATACTCATAGCAGCGGTTTATTGGTAATTAATGAGCAATTCATGACGTCTAGGTTCATCCTCTACACTTCACCTTCCGCCTTCCGCGTCTATAAGAAAGGTGTGCTCACCTTCAGTCGCGCGAACAAGACACAACACATCTAGTATCATCGTCCTTCTATTGAGTTGCTCCCAAGTTTTCGCTGTCCCAATTCTCTACATGCATGAAGACACTACACCACAACCTTAAAATAACGACTGCTTTGGAGTTGCTAAAAGGCCTGTACAGCGACGGACAGTCAATTGCTAAATCTTATAGCGACAGACCCCTGTTGTTGCTACTAAAGGCGTCGCTATAAGTAAATAGCAATGGATCTTTAGTGACCGATAGTTCGACGGTTCTACTTTAGCTAGGCTTGGTGTGGTGACTTAGGGTTTACATGTGAGTTTTGGGCTAAAATTTTCGTGGGAGTGGACTGAAAACATCGCGTCAATGGATAGTTGTATTTAGCGACTGACGATCTGACTCAGTTAGTGCTATATAGCAACCGACGATTCAATACAAAAGCAAAACATTTACACCAACGGACCATCCATCGCAGTATTCGATATTAGCGATTGAAGGCCCGAGGAAAATCTTTAGCGACTAACCGTTCAACGGTAATTGTTAACTTTTAGCAATAGACGTTAGATGCTATTTGGGGTTGTCGTGTAGTGAGAGTTGGGAGAGCATGCCTCCGGAACTGCCATTTGCATTTGCGACACCTGCTCGGGTGTGCGCGCGATCAAGTTTTTGGGAGCGTCACCGCGACTGCTCGCTGATTCGATCTTCTTCTTGGTGGTGTTGTTCATCGGAACGTCTTCTTCCCTGGTGGTGTTATTGATCATCTACTTCCTCTACTTACTGGTGAACGTCCGAGGGAATGCACTGCGAACACCTACCTGCACCACCTAAGATTCATGACTTCGAGCAACACATGATGTCTCATGTGAATGGAGCCACCAGTGCCTTGAGCATGGTGTTGACCGATGATTTCGTCAACATTTTGGTTGGTAAAAAAATGTCACAAAAGTATCACATTCGGATGTGTTTTCGTAGAGCTTTTGGGCAGCCTTCCCCCGACCACTCTTTCTCGCCTCCTTCGAGGGTCAAAAAGGAACTGTTGCTCCAAAGTAAGTATTGTAAATCTGATCCTTGATTATCTAGTTCATCTTGGAAAACCTTATGAAACCCTCTCTACCCACAAAAACATTTTATCTTATCTTTCTTTGGACATTCTTGATTTGATACTAGTTCACTTCGCATTTCTCATGGAAATCGATACCTTGGAATACTCCCAGAAGAAAATTACATCGGTATCCGTGCGCTTGCATCCTTTAAAACACACACTCCACAGTCAACTATGCTACTAGATCTTATTCTGTCGCTGCATCCTACAAAACACAAATTAAATAGTCATAAACAAATTTGGTATTCTAGAGCATGCAATGTTCAAGCACTCAACAAATTTTGACCAGAAGGATCAACACATAAACAAAATGATAAATTATTTGGGCCACAATTTTGTGATGTACACTTACTCATCCTCAATTATAAATCAGATTATGATTATTATTCCTAAAGGTAAAATGGAGTGTTTCCAGCCATAAACGGTACGTGTTTCCTGGGCCAGTTTTCCCTGGCCCCATATTCCTCCCGGAAGTTTTTTTTCATTTTGTTTCATTTCTCGGCACTCTTATACTCTTTTGTTTATCGATGATGAATGGATTTTAGCAGCTCTGCCAAGAGGGTTTCACAACCCAAATGTATTTATCTTAAAGCCATTTTATAGAACTAAACAACAGAATTTGTTGTGTGCTAATTAATACTCCTATATGCATCAAAGATTTTCTTATTCAAAAGCAGTTTAAAGCTATACGTATACAAATTTTAAAAATTGGGCCATTATTTCAAATTTTTGTGTTTTAATAATTTTAAAAAATTGTAGGTATGTTCCTATGCACATAGTATCGTTCATAACCCTATAAAAATTGTAGGTATGTTCCTATGCATTAAAGAATTTGTTCATAACCCAATTTGTCTTAAACCCCCGCTTTCGAAGTTTTTTTTTTTAATGAAAGGGAAAGATCCAAAGCAGACAGCCATCAAGGGTGACAGAAAGTACTAATACTCTAATAGTTAATCAGTGACAGATCATGCAAGAGATATCATGATAGGGGACAAGAAGGAATCCAGAAAATAGAAACATCAATTAGCATTCAACAAAAACATAGGTACTTGTTCAAAATAAATTTAAGGAATAGCCATACTGCAGAACTAGAGTGTAAAACGCCAAAGATGCAACATCATCATTATATAATAAGCATCATGCAGAAATTTCATCTACATCTACTATAAAGAATGCATATGTTTAAGAAAAAATCAGCTAACCAAGAAATGTTATGCACATACTAGCAGACAAAATCACTCAACTGACAAAGGATCAGAGCCAACACAAAACTCACCAACAGTAAAGCAGCTGAACATCTTCTCCAGTGCCAACGAGAGATCCTTGTAGTTTTTGTACATCTTAAGGTCCACCTTCCTGAGGTATGGCACACCATCCATGCTAACCTTGACATAGAGGCAATCCTGTACTAGTGCCTGCTTAGCCTCACCGTCGTCTTTGGTTTTCAGAGTGGGCTGGTTCATTGCCATAGTGTTCTTTCTGTGGCTGCGGATTGGTCGCCATCCTACCACCTGTGCCCTGTTACAGATACTCCAACAGTCTATATCCACTCAATATTGCTCTAATTTGCACAACATACCAAAAATTACAGCAACTTCAGCTGAAAACAATTGCCAGATAAAGGATCTTGCAAGTACGAGATTCCCAAATGCTAATCAGAGAGCATAGAGGAAAATAGGATAATTGTGCGCTCCCTAGCTACCTCATTGCAAGGACTCTGGTACACTGTCATCACGCAAATTGAAAACACACAGATAAATGACATGTTATCTTGTCCGTGCAACGTTCTTCTTTGTTTAGATAAATAGTAAGAGTTCTTTTACAACATGTTTATTCGCGCCCCTGCATTCATGAGTTGCCAAGTTTTTGCTTAAAATTTCCTGTAACATAAATTGATTAACTCACAGGATTGTTCATTTTTAATCAGGAAATATTGGTAAAAGAATATTTTTTGAGATCTGGATGAATTGTTTTAAAGGAAAAAAGAGCAGGAGAATATAATAATAAAAAAAAACAGAATGAATAGCCAACTTTCGCTCCTCTTCTATCTTTATATGGAAAAAATACCTAACCTACCAAGAACATTGAGTAAGAAGCCTACTTCTATTTCAAGAAACATCGTAAAAAAGAAGAATAAAAGATCAACAATCACCAAATAGCATTTTCTTTGTACATAAGATCAAGAAGTAACAAAATAACGCTTCTTTTTATATAAAAAGAAAAAAAAACACAAGAGCGAGTGGCGAGTGGACCTATTTAGCCGCCGGCGCCTGCGCCTTCTTCTTGTCCTCCTCTTCGTCCTCTGCCGGCGCCTTGCCCCTTGCCGCCACCTCCCGCCGCACGATGGCGTCCGTGAACCCGCGCTTGGCCCCACCCTTGGGCAGTAGCTCCAGCGTGAGCGGCGTCCCCGCCGCAGCCTCACCGCCGTCCGCTTCCTCCGTGCCCGGAAGCCCCAAGCGCAGCTCCGTGGCCGCCGCCGCTGGAGACAATCCGATGTAGTCCCGTTCCTGTGGCGGCGCCATGTCTATCCAAACTCCACGAGCATGACCAGCTCCGGGAGTCTCGGGTTCTTACGGGATTGAGGTGTCAGAGGAGAGGGAGCCTGAGAGGGATGGGTTCGAGGTTTCTTGGCTGCTGCTGAGCTCGTGAGTGTGCGAGTGGAGACGGAGGACGGAGCAGAGACAAGAGGACGAAGGGAGCGTGGCCAGGAGGGGTTCATTGGGGTTGGGGCGCTTTTGCATAGAAAACCTTGTATCTGTCCTTAATGTAACTTTAGCTGAAGGCTTAGATTATGGTATTGTTTTGTATTCTTCAATTAAAACTAGGTAGCATGCCCGTGTGTTACTACGGGATAATAAAATTTTTGTAAAAAAACACATGGATCGCACGATAAGATAACAATACTGTAAAATTAACCGACGTTAAAGTGACATTTAATCCAAAACGCAAATTCAAAAAACTTCAAAAATGCAGAACCGATGCAACTGTTATACAGGAAACTCTATGCAACTCCTAAGGTCGTCAGTTCATTGAACTTTCAGTGTTCAGCTTACAGCTCGAGATAAATTATCTCCATGAAGTATAGAATCAACTAACATACACGATGTACTCTAATAATCAATCATTTAGTCTTCCACAATAGGTATCCTTTGTTTTGAGGATGGTTGGTGTGGCAGAACCGTCTAATCTAATGCCTCATAGAAGTGCTTGTCTTTCATTAGACACTAAGCACTCAAGGGAGAACACTAAATTACTCGGTTCCGTCGGGCACACCTCAGGAGAGAACCCGAAAATCCACATTTTTGCCATCAGGATCACAAATGAGAGAATAAAGCTTACATCATTCTTAAGCATTTCTTACATCACTTTTAATACAACATCAGAGTATAATATTTATTATTATAACAACGGAATGTAATCATATTATCAGAGTTATAAACAATTTAATGTAACAATGGAATATAAATATGTGATCAGAATTACAGCAGAAATAATTATCTATTCATGGCATGATGAAGTATTGATATATAAACTACGGCAACAGGTTATGAAACTTTCCTTTATAAAAGTATTTGGTGAGAGTTATAAATAACAACTATGATCGCAGCGTAAAGGAATCCTCGCTGAGCCCACCAAGAGGAATCCACACACAAGAGTCAGCTCTAGCATCCACCTGTCACCTGCAACAGGGGGGATAAAACCCTAAGTACTCAATTGTAGTCAACAAGACTTACCTGACAGAAGAAAAGAAAAGACTCTAAGGGTATGCAAGGCTATCTGGCTTGTGGATTTATTGCATTTGTAGGAAGCATTACTAAGCGTGCGTCCTTATGTTCGATTTTTATTAATAGCCGCAATGGTTCATTAACTAACCATTCTATGTAAGCTCCTGTGCTACTTTCAAGCAAGTGGTAAGCAATCAGAGTTCCTTTTTCCATCTTTCATCTTTCAGTTCTTACTACGGTGCTAGGCACGAAACAAGCCGTACCGGATCGTCCGGTGATTCGCGAATCAATGCCCTAGCTGGGTATCCTAAAAACACACGCTCCGCTTGTATCCAAGGCACAAGCAGGACCAACCCATCACTCTCCTGTCCCGGGTGTCCAGGTCCCCGTCCAAATTAGGACTCCAAGCCCCCGCCCCTGAGTCTCGGACTTAGTGTGGTGCAAGGACCTTCTCCACCAAAATAAAACCCTGACAGCCGGTCCGAAAAGAGCCAGATCCGCGACAAGAGAGCAACAAGTCTTCCAAGCGCCCATACCCAAGTATGTGCTCGGGATAATAAGTCTGTGACTTGCCTCGATGGCTTATGCAACGACCGGTCCTTAACCGACCAGACAGGGAAAACAATGTAACCAAGCCATGCCCCGCGTCCATGGTGACACAACCTCTTATACCCACCAACACCCAAACCATATCCCTGCCCGGTCATAATTTTTTCTTTCCACCATTTATACTTTTCAAGTGATAGTAATATATTTCCTATCTCTCGCTAGTGACAGGCAATCACTCGACTTCTACCGGAGTCCTGTAGTATAGCATTCTACACGATCCTGTCATACTAGTAAGGCTCATAGGATAAAGATATATATGCAAGTGGGTTCCATTCAACTCCTTAAAACTTAATGCACAAATATAATTTAAACTGTAGAAAAGTAGGGGTTATGCACCGGGGCTTGCCTATGTAAGATATATATTAAAAGTTAGTATCTGCATCTTCAGACCATTCACCATCAACTAGATAGAAAGCCCATTGCATCATCTCCTGGAGAGAATATAATTATACCATCTTCAGATTCCCAATCATCCTTCAATTGGTCCGTTGATCCATCATCGTACCTATATGATATGCATTGATGCAAATGCACAGATGTAAATAATCAACGACAACCAAAATGCTTAGAAACCCGATCACACCTCACAAGCTAACGAACTCGTTCTAACGACGTCCGTACTTAGGCCACATATCCATGTTGTCAGATAAGACGCTATTTCCCAACAACTATTTTCGTTACATAAACCCAAGTTATTTCTTTATTCCATTCTATTAATTTAATTATTATTCGAATTTGAGCATCATTATCTATTTAGCAACTAGTTATTCCGGAGCTACAACAATTACAATGAGCAGCTAATATTGCTAGAAACCTACTATAGAGATTTCAGATCCAATACTATTACCCATTTATCACAACAATTCCTATAAGTTTATATTTTTACAATGTTAAGTATCTCAATTTAATTATATAGCTCCTAAGAATATTATCTAACTATGTGAACAAGTTATACTAGCAGCTAGATCATGATTTTAGGAGCCTAACAAACTTAGTTTGACATTTTTATGATTTTCTACATTTTATTATCAATTTCCAAGTATTTAGACACTTGCTGAAATTAACAAAACACCAAAATAGTTAAAAGGGTCCTTGGGCCCAAAAGCCTGACTTCGGTGCAGTCCAATGAGCCAAGTAGCCTAGCGTGGCATAGCACAAGAAGCTTAGCAGCCTCAAAGCGCAAGGCAAGCACGACGACGTTGCTGCCAACCCGATGGCAAAGGCAGAGCGTAAGCAGACCGACGAGGGGCCCAGCAGCGACGGTAGGTCGACCCACGCGCGATCGGGGCATGAGCGGCCCAGTCAGCCACGCGGCCCAGCGGTGCAGACGCTAGCGCGACCCAACAAACCGCCCAGGCACGGGTGAGCAGCCAGCCCACGCGTGGAAGCAGGCCGGTCCAGGAGGGATCCGCAGTGGTCGCGGCAATCTTCCAAAAGAGCCCTCGTTTTATCTCATAATTGCTAAAACCATTGAGACTACTATTCCAGTGAGTCACGTATTCGCGTAGGGAACCCCGAACAAAATGTCTACCTTAATCCTTACCCTTCTCCTGTCTTCGTGAAGCAGAGGAGTAGAGGATGGTGGCTCCAGCGACCAAATCCTGGCCCCTGCGCGCCCGCAGGTGGGGAGGAGATGGCGCGGAGCAACGCGGGCCCCAGCGCGCTCGCGTGCACGACGGCAAGCGAAGGAAGCGGCCGCGCTGGCAGGGCGGCATGGCGCGCTCGTGCATGCGGTGGCGGCGGCGGAAGCAGCCACTGTAGGGCGCGAAGCATGGAGGTGGGGCGGCGCTTCACCAGCGGTGAGGGCGAGCCGCACGACCGCACAACAAGGCCGCCGATAGGTGCGATGAGAGCGGCTGTGGACGAGCTCGGGCTCGCAGCACCCACGACGGCAGGCGTGCTTGCGCACGGTGGTGACGGTGGGGCGTGGCAGCGGATGCCCCCCAAGACAGCATAGGCGCCCACGAGGTGGGAGCGGACCAACATCATGAGCCGCGGCGGCGCAGAGGGAAATGGGGAGAGGACGAGCAGCGCTCTACGGGACCGCGGTCCAGCACGGAGACGCGGCGTGTGACCCCGGGCGCACCTGCGCGCGACGGGCAGGAACCGAGGAGGGGCGCCGGCGACTGCGGTTGCGACGGGCACGGCGGACGGAGGTGAAACAGAGAGGATGAGCAACGCTCGGCTCGGCTCAGAATAGCAAGCAGGCACAGAGGCAGAGAAGAACGGCGCAACGAAGAAAAAGGCGCGGAGACTTGAGCGAGTACGCCAGAGCACGTGGTCTGGCAGGGCATGCCGGTTAGCACGGACAAGACCTGGCCGCAGAGACAAGTAAGGCAGGCAAGGACATGCAACGGAGACAAGAAAAGGCGGACAGTGATATTCATGACGCCACAGAGTGAAACGATGGAACCAGCAGTGAGGGAGGGAAGCAACAAATCAATATACGGCAGCCGTAGCCCGGCCAACTCTCATTATGGTGATCATCAGAAAAAGGACGCGATGGAGAGGGAGCAGTGGCACGACGACGAAACTCGACGATGCGGCGCGACGCTAATAAACCGGAGTTGATTGATTTCAAACAAGGGAGAACGCACTACTGACGACAAGCGACGGAGCAAGGTAGGGAGACGTCCCGTCATCGCTGTGAAGCCGATCGCTCGCAAGTCAAAACTAAACCCAAAGCTTTTCAACTGAGCGTGCTTCTCAAAATAAACACATGAGCATATATATATACGTCGTTCAATTTATTAATGGATTTTATATATTTTTTATAAAAGTCGCTTTTCATGCTTAATCTAATAGAACAAACCATTCACCATTTACTTGCTAGAATCGTTATCAGACATTTCTAAATATTTCTACGCACTGCGTAATTTATCTTGAACGTTTATTTGTGTCCACGAAACTAAATCACATAGGGTTCGTTTATCGCCTCAAGTATGTTTTCAAAAAAATTTTACTTAGGCCTAAATCGCGGTGTTAAACAAGCTCGTAACACCAGGGGTATTACCATTGGCCTCCATCACCATTCCATGTAGCTCTGGGCAGTGTGAACACACTTGCTCTGTTGACGAAGGAGATGAACTCGGAGACACACTCCTACTGGTAACTTCACTGTGGTAAAAAAACTAAAATAGGTAACAGCTACATGATTAATATTTTAAAAAGGGTAACGTCCTTGTGGTAAAAGAAAACTACAACAATGACAATGGAGTTTATTAACTCAATAATGAGAGCCGAGGACCGATTTGCATACGTGCAATCATATGCATATTACTGAAATCCCATTTTTATTTTTATTCATGCAAATTGCTAATATTCAGAACAGAAACAAATATGTAAGCTTCATTAGGCACCTCTCCTTTCTGGTCAACTGCACCTTCGTTTTTTTTCTAGCTCACTGGCCGTAGAGAACAGAGAACCGAAGTGTAAGTGAAAACCGACAAGTCAACCTGTAATGTTAATAGAGAGACTCAAACTATTGAGTTACCTGGGAAACAAATGGGTTGTAGAGAAACTTAGTCATTCAAAGAAGATAAAAATTTCAGAAGAGAGCACCTTGAAGCCATCTCCCCTTTCTTGGTTAAACATTCTTTAGAAGATTACCCTAGAATATGTTACTTAGAGGTGCAATATCAAACGACATAGTGTTAAGCTTGACACAATTTGCCTACCTGCTAGAGGATGCAGATTCCAGCAGGACTTGAGTTTATGCCTTCTTCATAGCACATTTCCTCTGTGTGTTGGTTTTCCTTAACGTTTCTGATAATCCAACAGAAGACAAATACATGCTCATATTCATCTGCTTCATATAAGACAATGAAATCAACCAAACATTCTAATAAGTTAACAGTCTAGACAACCACATAATTTTACACTTCGAACTGATGTAGCAATGGCAAATATCTATAGGTAGCATACTTGAGCATATAAAGATGATATGTACCAAAAAGGCAAGAAAATACTGCATCATATCCATCAATGGTGATCGACAAAATAAAATACAATAGGAAAAATACTACACACTAAGACTGAATGACAAGCACACATACCTATATGTATGTAAGCTTCAGTGGTTTGGCATTTCTACAAACATGTACTTCACACGCCACATTTCTGCAAAGGTGCAAACCTTGTGACAAAGACCAACACAATGTGGATCCAAGATTAGTTAGAGACTAAAAAGAGGGACGTCGACTGGTGAAGCATCAAGACAGTAATAACTATTAAGTTGAAGGTTCAATGCTGACTTTTATCCTCTCATCACTGCTAAATACATCAAGCTGGTTCAACAATTCCAACATTGTCCTTTGCACTTCTCTATCGCCGCTAACGTCAATGCAGAATGAAACAAAAAAGTACAAATTAATTGACTGCAGACAAATAATATATATCCTAATCTGATGCTAATAATCATCCTATATAACATCAATTACCACCCAGCATGGAGATACTAAATATGTAGAATACATAACCAAAAAGAAAAAAGTGAGTTTGCATAGTAGAATCACACTGCATGAATTCTGTAAACTGCAAGTTGTTTATCAGGCCAACTAAAAAAAGTGAAATACTAAAATGGTTAGTTTTAGGAGCCCTAGCATTTGTATGATATTTTAGTATATTTCAAATTAAAATAATGGGATGTTACAAATATTGATTTCATAAATTTAATTACCTATCGGGACAAGTTGTGGACAACCAGTTTCAGAACCGTGGCATTAGTTTGTGGTGGTCCATACAAAAGAACACCTTTGGGGGATGAATACCCAATTTCTGAAATCGATCTTTGTGTGTCATTAGCAACACTATTGCTTCCACAAGCTCTTGAATCTGTGTCACAATAGAACATCATTTTACTGCTTGCAATGTATAAACTCAACCATAGTGTCGCTTTAACGGTCTATGCATCAATTGTACAAAATAAATTACATGTTTCCCAAGTCCTCCAATGTCATTGTAATCCTCTATAGGTTTCTCATCTACTTCCAATGCCATAACCCATGAGTCATACTATGAAGGCAATGTGTAAAGTATCAAGTACCTGTCTTTGTTAATCCAAGAATTTAAAAATGAATCTGAGTTCTTCATAACTGACAAAATCAACCAACTACAAATGGCATGTGGAAGTAAACATATGCATTGTTGAATTACAATATGTGCAATGCAGAACAAAAATGTAATCCGATTCTAACAATTAGGGATCATGATACCTTGATTTTTTTATTAAAAAAGCATAGGGCTTCAATTTGAGGTAATTTCTGAAATTGAAAAGGCACAAAATGAAAACACTATTCACAATAACTGAATCTCTGAAATTGAAAACACTGAAAACGAATGAAACTCGACACTCATATATTGAGAGATTCACTTGAGGATTGAAGGATATTAAATCGGTGACTAATCGTACACTAAGCACAATTTGAAAATACAACCACGCATGACTCACCTTCTAATGTGGCAAAGAGGAAGCAGAAGGGCTCCTGTTTGTCCTGGGTGGCGGAGTGAGACATCGGCGACGGCGGCCGTCCCCGCGAGCACGCAGAGCCCGATGCCACAGCGGCGCGCGCTCCATCGCTAGGTATCTCGAGCATGTAAGGCCACATGGCCGCCGCGGGATCCACGTCCTGTGTGACCACCGGCGGCGGCTTGGGCTTGTTCTTGTACCCGGTGAACGGCCTCGACGACGCTCGCCGCCAGCTCGTCGACTCCTGCTGCCCCGTCCGTCATGGTGAGGGAAGGCCATCGCTGTCGGCGTCGGGGTGGGGGAAGGTCGCGTGGTTAGGGGCGCCGCCCGATCCATGGGGTGGGAGAAGGGGGTGCCATGGAACGGCAATGCGGCGAACTGAGGGCGATGATGGGGGCACGATGGATGCGGACGACTGTGGCCGATCGTGCATGGAGCAAGGGCGCCAACGAGGATAAGGGAATAGTCGTACGGGGATGGTGGGATCGCATGGGGAATAGTCGTAATTGGTGATGGTGGGATCGCACGGGGAGGGCAGGAAGATGGACCCATGTTGGAATGTTGCACCAAAAAGTGTCCACGCTTTGTTCTTTTTAGTTGTAGGAGAAGGAGATATAGATAGCGTGCCCGTGCGTTGCTACGGGATAACTAAACTTTTATACTAAAAACACACGGATCGCACAATAAGATAACAATATTGTGAAATTAAATACAGACATTAAAGTGACATTTAATCCAAGAAGCAAAGTTCATAAAATTAACACAGTTACGGAGAGCGCGGCATCGCATGCTCACAAACTCTATTGTATAGACCTTTCTGTGATGTGGCTACGATAATGTTTTATATTGGCAGGAAAAAGTCTCTGATATCTGTTTCTTTCATGCGCCAATAAATCCATGAACTCCATGTCATCCTATACACAGGTTCGAGTAAATATGTAAATATTAGTGCCTATCACATGGGTAATACTACGTGTCTTGAAAAATCTCTCACCAAACCTTAAAACAAAGTATGCTATCCTCATCATATAAATATGTGTTGCTTTAGATCTATTCCACGCAAACATATACAGTAAAATAAGAAGTGAAAATTTATATAAAAAAATAAAACAAAAAATCAGATTTATTAAGATTGATGTCTTATATATTGTATAACCAAAAGTAGCTTTTAGCGTGTTCAAATTTCACAGCACCATCAACCCTGCTTTTGGGTGCGTTTGGTTGAGGAGCTATGTCTTCTATAAAAACTACCGCCAGCCTCTTTCAGTTATGAGCGGAGCCTAAATGTACTGCCCCTCATCCAAGGTAGGACCTTCTCGTTGGACACTGGATGATCAGTAGTTTTGACACCTCTTTGGCTAGGTTGAATAGTTCACAGAGCCCAGACCGCATTGATGGTGACTCCCTTTCCTTCATCTTCAACTACAAATGGTATGCCAATAAAACACTAACAAAAACACGTAGGTGATGTGCGAGATGTGTGGCACGTCTGTGGGCTGCCCAATCTCGATCCGCTCCTCGTCGCTATCCTCCTTCTCGTGATCATCGTCATCAACACCCACGACACCGGTGCTGCACATCACCAGCGACTCCACAGCACCCCCATGATGGCGCCCACCAGCCCTCAAACTCTTCCTCCCCTCCCCGCCTAGAGCATATGAAAGCACAAATATGCTATGTAGTGAGACCAATCCATACAGTGTCGACATTTTCAACACCAATATAGGAGAAAAAAGAACAAGCACCTCTCATCAAAATTATTTTTAGTTGTCTTGGTTACTTGATTTTCACAATTTGATGCAACAATAATATCCAACTTATATCTCAAACTATAAGGTAAGATTCTATCCCTGCAACACGCCTGCTGCCGATGGAATGGAAGGGGAGCCTAAACTCCAAACAATTTAGAACCCAAAACCTAAAAAAGAAAACCAACACAAATTAACACCACCATTGCCATTGTTCAACAAGCTAACCATCGGATGCCACAGACAACCCACACGTACCTGAGCCACCACCCATTGGGTTTGCAGGAGTAGGTGCTTGCTCAGGCTCCTTGATGTCAACCACAACGACATCAGAGGTGATGAAGGTTTTCGCCACCGACGCAGCATCCTCCAAGCAGCACCTCACAACCTATTTTTGCAAAAGATAATCCTCGCATCACCTAAATCTTTCTTTACGTAGCAACACAAGGCATTGCTTCTATAGAAACACACCTTGGTGGGATCAATGATACCAGCAACCATCAAATCCTCATACTTCCCTGTAGCCGCGTTGTACCCATACCTGAAGTTCTCATTGGCAAGAACCTGAATATCAACAAGTTCCAAACTTGTTAAGCACAAGTTGCACAACCCCTGACTAATAACGGGCACAATTTGAGCACAAACCTTATCAGTACCACACTGCCATTAACACCTGCATTCTTTGCAATCAATTTAAGTGCATAGCTCAAGGACTTCCATACAATTTCAGCCCCAACCTTGAAAAGGAAAAATAGGGGCAAAAAGGTCACCATCGATGGAATATAAAATAGAACCTTAATCAAAGGGTAACATTTTTTTGAGGGAAAGGGTGACATTAAACAACTAAACTTTGGAACCTACCTTTTGTTCATCATTCTCAAGGGTTTCTATAATTGCATCAACTTTTGATGCAAGCCTCAGAAGGGTACAACCACCACCGACAACAATACCTTCCTCAACTGCTGCATGCAAATATAGAAAACTATCAACTAACAAGGACTGATACAAATAGGATTTTAAGAAATCAACACGGTGCAAATAGTGCATCAGAAGGCTGTGAATGGGAATATATACTGTGCCTAACACCATATGCATTTCAGCAACACAAATAGCATTTACCTTTGTAGCATTCAGGGCATCCTCAACCCTCAGTTTCTTTTCCTTAAGCTCAGTTTCTGTCTGTGCTCCTACCTACAAAGCAAGGCAAATCATGTTCTAGTTGTTTTATTCTGCTAAGCATGCTAAATACACCAAGAGGCACCTAAGGTCTAACATTGGGCTTTACCTGAATGACAACAACACCACCAAAGAGTTTAGCTATCCTCTCGTTTAGTTTTTCTTTCTCATATTCTTGTTCAGTAGCCTGAAAATTTGATGTTTGGGAACTAACCATTAATAAAAGCATTTTTTTCCAAATCAAAAGTGACTTATGTAGACATGCAAGACAAGGGAATGCAGATTATCTCTATTAGCAAATGAGGGCTGTCAAAAGGAGTTGATAAACAGAGCAGAACCACAAGAAGAGGAAATGAAAATTTGAACCAAAACAGAGGAACAAAGAATTTAAGACTCTTCAGAATGCAAACCTCAATCTGGTTCTTGATTTGTGTCACCCTTTTGTTTACTTCCTCCTGTGTAGTGCCATCTCCCACTATTGTTGTTGAATCCTTAGTTACTACAACCTTGGCAGCAGTTCCTAGGACCTGATTGTCTGCCTTGTCTAAGGATTGTTACTCGGGCCAAAAAACCAACATGCATATGAAAGCAATGCCGCGGTGCTGTCAGTCTACCAAACATACAAATGGACTGAAAAACCTCAATGTGTATTTGGTGTATTTTCAGCAAACATAGGCATATGAAAACTTAGTACAAGCAAAGAAATATTGCAGCCATGTGAAAGGACTATATTTTTTGACTGTCAGTGGAAGAGTTGTGAAGACAGTAGCTCACCATGGCAGGGTACTCCTAGTTTTCTTCATAAGCCTATAACTGCAAGCACTAACACACTAAGCCGTAGTTGTGGTATTGATATATATTTGAAAATTAGGCAAAGACAAAGCAACAAGAGATGCAAGAAAGGAATGGTGCCAATACCTTCAGTTCAATTGTAATTTGTAAATTTGTCTTTGTAGCCTGTAGATCCATACCTTCAGTTCAATAGAGGAAGAAAATCCATCTAGTTATTAGCTCCCACCTTGCAAAACTAAAACAAAGAACGATAGGCAAATATATATAGATTAAACATAATATAGGTTTCGTCCTCAGAGAACGCATGTTTAATTTATAGGTTGAAAAATAATTAAGAACAACACACGATCTGAAATGGCAGAAAAAGTAACAGTACAAGATGTAAGATTCATACAACCATTATCTATGTTTGATTTAAAAAAAAATACTATCAGGAATTGTGGGTTCCTCTTACACCATAGATTATCTCAACAAATATGCAGCTTATCTTTCATGTATACTTGTTTGTTAGGTGAAGTGACCGGACAAAGAAAGTATTAGGGAAATAGATTAAAAGACCTACAGCTGTAGGATTGGGATTAAGAATTCTGCTAATCAGGTTTTTGGCTCCAGCTGAAAACCAAGAGGGGCAGCTAAACCGAGCTGCTCAAATCTGTGATTGCAAAGGGAGCGTTAAGAGATGATAAACAACCGCAAAATAATGTTTATTTTCTCTCTAGGCTTCTGGAGAAATCATTTGAGCTACTATGGATGTAAAAAAATGTCAGTGTTTGCAGCTATGGCAACAGTTGGCAATTAAAAAAACAATGTTCCAGAGACATACAAGCTGATAGTTGGTTGGCAATTTTAGAATCAGTACCATAAGCGCTCAGTTGAAGGCACAATAAATAGAGAGTGAAGTAGTAACACCAGGTTTGTGGAGCAAGAAATTAAGAATGCTACGAACACTTCCTGTTTTACTTTTCATAGTAAGGAAGGAAGCAGTAGCACATGACGTGTAATTTGTAACTCGTTTGAGCAAGCTGATTAACATATTGCAATTCCTTGTAAATGTGATTTCCTGTAGAGCCTGATCTCTGGATCCATTAACATCTCAACTATCGTCCTACATCAGGCATCTCAATATCACAAATCAATAAAGCAAACACACAGTCAGTGCCAATTGGTACATGGTTAGTATTTATTAATAGAAATTTAGTGTTGCCTATAACTTAGAATAGGGTTGAAATTGCAGATGATCAGAATAGCATGCAATTGATGGATTCAGACAGTAACTCAGTGAAACTATCAACCAAAATCACTGCAGGGAGAGAGAGAGAGAGAGAGAGAGAGAGAGAGGAAGAGACAAGCACCTAGGGTTTCATGGAGTACAGAAGAAGACGCGACGCCCGACGAGATGATGCCACATAGGGGGGGGGGGAGCCGTGCTAGGGAGCACCGGAGGGACCGCCCGGCGGCGTCGTGCCCGGGGACCGTTGCCGTGGGGGCTCGTCGTGGCCGGGGATGGTGAACCGCAGCACCGGCGCAGCACTCGAGGAGGGCCGCCGTTGCCCCGCCCTTGCGGCACGAGGAGGAAGGGGCGTGGAGGATAATGAGGGTGGCCGCCGTGCCATGCGCTCTCACCTGGGTAAGGATGCCTCCTCGTTGGATCCACCAAGGGCGAGCGCCTCCACCCTATCCGGTCCACCTCGTTGCCGGATTAGCCGAGGCGACGGTCTGCTCACTGGTCGGGCTACCTCATCTGGATCCATCCTCGGCGTGGGATGGGAGGCGGCATGGGGGACGACGTCTGGAACCGTCGATGCCCTGGCTGACTGGGTCGCCAGGGGCTTGGCTAGGGAGGCCGCGGTGAGGATGCCGGGCGACGGCGACGGCGGAGGAGCGAGGCCGACGGGCGATCGTGGCGCGATGGGATCGTAGGGGCGCGATGGGATTGGTGGGGAGGAGATATCACGACTAGAAAGGAATGTTTTGGAGCGGAGATTTGGAGTCGCGGGGAGGAGGTCCCACCTGCCGGTGCCGTGTGTTTGAATTGCGGTATCGCACGGGCAGATAGGCAGACCAAAACAAATGTCACACTAAAAATTGTCCACACTTTGTTCTTTTTAGTTGTACTAGACTAGAAGATATACCTAATTCGTTGCTATGAAAATTTTCAAAAATGAAACTATTGTACATATGAGTATATCAAGTTTATCAAAATTGGACACACAATAAAAGAATATAATAAAGGCCCCATTCGTTTCGCTGAAAAAACAAGCCGAAACAATGTTCCGGTTGATTTATTGTGAGAGAAAAACATTGTTCCGGCTGAAAAAACAAATTGAAAAAGATGGATTATAAGAGAAGCGAACAGGGCAAAAAAACTAACAGAATTTTATCGAATTAAAAGATGATGAAATGACAAAACAAATAGCAATATATGAATGTCTTCAATATTTCGAACATATTGAAAGTAGTAAATGCGCCTAGTAGAGATGATATGGATAGTTTATTAAGAGATTGAAAGTTAGTGGAATGAGATGGCTATTAGTGAGAGATAATCTATCTATATCTATACCTCTATATCTATATACCTAATACTAAAGGCAATATATCATGTGCAAATCAACCAACCTGTGTAAACTTGGAAACTACCAATCATACCACTGGATGCTGATCCAATAGATGAGGTGAGGGGGCTTAAACATAAAAAGAAAGAACGGTGGGTGGGGGGCTTAAGCGCAAAAAAATTCCTCCTCTCACCCTGTTCATTGGATCAGCATCTAGTGATTCTGATTAATAGTTTCTAAATTTGCACAGGTTAGTTGATTTGCACCTGATACGTTGCCAATACTAAAAGATAAAATTTCTACGTCATTATAATTTTTGTGCAACCTAAAATGTGGGGTCCCCATATCCGTAACCATGTCTATTTCTTTTTCCGTTTTTGTTTGCCTTGCGATTCCCACGTCCGTATTTTTTTCAGATTTTGTGTCCGCTTTTCCGAGCTTCTGTATTTCTTCGGGTTTCCTTCCATCCCGTCAGCGTCCGCTTCCTTTTTCTCCTTCTAGTTCAGTACCTTTTTTTTTTTTTTCCTTTTCTAGATCGGCTAGTCTAGCGTCCGGACGTCCGGCGCACCACTCGCGTTCGGACGCCCCTCAAAGCGCTCAACCGCCCACGAACGCTTCCGCGCCTGACCCACGCGCACGCTCCCGGCGTGCCCCGCGGGCCAGTCCGCATGCACCAGTGCCCCCCTGGCCCCCAGTCCTCACGCCCCCAGCTCGCCCCGCACCCGCCACATCTGCTCCACGCGCACAATGAGCATGCCCCTAGTGCCCCCTGGCTACAACACCTGCGTCCGTTGGCCCCAGCACCTCCGTCCGCTAGGCCCCCGGCGAGCTACGTGCCCCCGTCCACCCGGCTCGTCCCTTCCTGGCCGAACAACATAAAAAGCTCGAATTGAACTCTTGCAACAACACGGAACAACTGTTGCAACATTAGGTTGAAGGAGCCAAAATATTTGGAACTTATTATTGCAACATTGGTGTGAAGCATATGAAACAACGCTCGAATAAAACAATTGCAACAACATGGAACAACTACTGCAACATGAGACTAAAGCAACTGAAATATTTCAAAAGTATTATTGCAACATTTGTGCGAAAAGCATATGAAGCATCCAGATAAGAAAAATTACAACATCGTGTAGAAACAAGTGAAACATTTTGAAACAGTGCTTGCAACAAACCTTTGAAACAATTGCAACATGGGCAAAACATCCCTAGATCTACTTGTGCAACATCCATATGATTCAACTGCAACATACCCCTAAAACGTCTAAAACAATTAAAAGATACAATTGCAACATAGGGGGAGAGAGAGCCTGCACGGAGAGCGCCATGGCCGCCAGATCTGAGGGCGTTAGGAGCTCCCTATGGGGGAAGACGCTGATGTCAGGGAGGGGCACGGGGTGGGGAGGAGGAAGCCAGGGTGGGGTAGGAGGATGCCGGGGTTAGGGAAGGAGACGTTGGTGTGGAGAAAGGAGCTAGCGTGGTGGGGGAGGAGGAAGCCGCCACCGGCTAGGGAGGGAGCGAGGTGTGTGGAGGATGGGCGAAAGGCGGAAGGAGCGCGACCGCCGACTCGCGGCACTGCGGAGCGCAGTTGGGGGAGCACGGCGCTGCTGGATCCATGGGGGGAGGAGAGGAGAGGAGAGGAGGACGCCATGGCAGTGCAGGGGGGATGGGATTTTTTTGAAAGAATGGAGAGCAGCAGCTGTGGACTTGTGGACGAGAGGCTATGGAGCCATATGCGGATGGGCTGTGCGCCGGTGCGGGCAGGATCTGTTTGGTGACTGCGCGACTCAGGCGGCTACATCCATCCGGACGGTAGGACGACCGAACAGTATCATTATCGTTTCTAGATAGAATAGAATATCTAATGTTTTTCTTATAAATATACTAGGTAGCGTGCCCGTGCGTTGCTACGGGACAACTAAATCTTTTGCACTAAAAACACACGGATCGCACGATAAGATAACAATACTATTAAATTAAATACCGACGTCAAAGTGACATTTAATTCAAAAAGCAAAATTCGTGAAATTAACACAGTCACGGAGAGCGTGACGTCGCAGGCTCACAAACTCTACTGTATAGAGTTTTTCGTGATACGGCTAAGATGATATTTTATATCGACAAAAAGAATTCTACGATATCCATTTCTTTCATGCGCCAATAAATCCATGAATAAGTTCTGCTGCATCTCCATATAATCATGTACACACAGGTTCGAGTATATATGCAAATAGGTTCATGCCCGTGCATTGCTACGGGATAGCTAAACTTTTGTACTAAAAACACATGGATCGCGCGATAAGATAACAATACTATAAAAGTATATGACCGACGTTAAAGTGACATTTAATCTAAAAAGCTAAGTTCGTGAAATTTACATAATCACAGAGAGCATGGCGTCGTAGGCTCACAAACTCTACTGTGTAGATC